AGCAAGCATGGCTCAGAGGTTTTCAGCTATTCATAGAAAGAGAAAAGTTAGCAGAAGGAACAGGATTGGTGCGGAAAATTACAATCGGTGTCACTAGACCTTGCTAAGAACATTGGTGTGTACTGGGTTCCTCCAAAATATGCTGCCAATCCACTCACAACCTCTTTGCCACACCCTTCTGCTAAATGTTAAGAAAATACACTTCAAGCAAATGTGGACCCGTTATCAGCCTGTGCATTCCTTTTCAGCCTCCTAATGGTCTTATAGTATGAAACACTGGATGATATTTTAAAGTAAAGCTGAATCCAATATGATAAGGCCACCATCTTCTAGGGTGGAGACCCCAGTGGCTTAACCTGCAGACTTGCATCCTCAGGGACACTTTGCAACTGGAGAGTCTTTCCCATCCCCGTCCTTTGAGTATTACCTAAAGTGATGTTGAGAACACTACTATTTCCTGGCAGCCCGTCTCCATGAGAATTTGCCTTTGAGAGATGGTCTCACCGGAAGAATGAGTACATGATCCATCCTAGAGTCAAAGAGGTCTTGGTGTGCCAACTTCTCTTACCTGACTTGGTACCACCCCACAATGGGCCCAGCTCACCACATGTTCAGTGGTCTTCCTCAGCCAGAAGACTTTCAAAATTTACTCTTACTTGACCGAAGTCTTCTTTCTTACAGACCCAGGCTAATTTCTTTGAAGACTTCCTTGCTAACTGGCCTAGCTATGCCTACCTGCCGTAGATCAGTCTGAACAACAAATAAATTAAAACAAATGCTTCTGTTTGAAATCGTTTGCTGGGAAACAAACATCATTTATAGTGTCACCAAATAGGCAACTGGTATAAACAAAACAGAATTTTGCTTAACCAAATCAATGTTGTCATTAATGTGGAGAAAGCTCATGCGTGGAAAACTCTAGCCCTAAGAACTTGCTGAAGCGATACCTTTGAAAATTCCCCATCACTTATGAATTTTTCCTTAATGTAACATGTAATCACATGTTCTCTATGAGATAAGAACTGGGGATAAATTTTTTTAAATGGGAACTAATAACCAAAAGACCACATTCTCTTTGTTTGTGTCCAAAGAGACATATGACTAAGCATGTCAGCAATAGAATAAGAATCTCATCTCCTGTATTTATTTAGATTCCTAGCACATTGTTGGAAAGAAGTAAAAACCTGCCAACAGTTACCAATACTTCCCCGAAATGGGTTTCTATATGTGACAATATTTACAAAGAGCATTTTTTTAATCCTGATAATAGGACTGTTACCAAGCCCAGCTGTTGGCACTAGGTACCTTCTCCTTTAGAATAAACTTAAGTGATCAAATGAGTTTCTCAAGCAAAATCCAGGGCGGAAGTACCTGAGAAAGCCACACATAACAGAGAAATTCTAATCTAAACCTCCACTGATTTTCCATTAAGGTACAAATAATGGGGATAGAAATTCAGGTCAAGACTACGAGACACCATAGTACACCCATCAATGCAGACAATAGCAAGTGTTGCAAAGGATATAGATCCATAAAATCTATTAACTGCCGGTGGGAGTATACATTGGTACAACTGCTTTGGAAAACAGTTTGGCATTATGTAAGGTGAACCTTCACATTCCTACAACCCAGCAATTTCACCCAAGAGAATCTCCTGCATGTGTACAAGAACTGTCATGGTCAGCCATCGAGAGGAGAATGCATAAATAAAAAGTGACACACTCATGTCCTGGACTGTTATAAAGCCATCAGAATAAGTCCCCCCAAATCATATATTGTACAATACCCTTTTTTATAAAGTTAAAAATGGTTGAAATGAAAACTATGGGGCTTTTAAAATTGCATATAGATGCGATAAAACTGAATAAAAAGGAAAGAAAGAGGACAGTGACATAAATTTGGGATGGTGGTTACCCCAGAGTGGGGCAGGCTGGAGGATGGGAGAGGGGAGAGAGCACAAGAAATATGTGCCCACATTTTCTCTGAAGATATTTCTCTGAACACCAGGCTTCACTTAGTTAAAAAAAAGAATAATAAAATAAAATTAGAGTGGTCTTTCCAAAAGGGAAGCTTGCAAGGGAAATGGCTCTGATTTCTTCTCCACCAGGCGCATCACCCTACCAGGTTAAACCTGGCTCTACCTGGCCCCTAAGGGAGAGAGATCATGAATAAAAATTCTCTCTGTCTTCAGCTCACAAGCACTTGAATTTTGCCACTCTTCTGGCCACACACACTTGGAGAACCACTGAGAGGGGCACCTGGGTAGCTCAGTTGGTTAAGCATCTGCCTTCAGCTCAGGTCATAATCCCAGGGTTCTAGGATCGAGCCCCATGTCAGGCTTCCTACTCAGTGGGGAGCCTACTTCTCCCTCTCCCTCTGCCTGCCACTCTCCCTGCTTGTGCTCACTCCCTCTGTGTCCAATAAATAAATAAAATCTTAAAAAAAAGAAAAAAAGAACCACTGAGAGCTGGGGTTCCAGACAGGGTAAGAAGAGAACACATATGTACAGCACCGGGAACAGACAGAGCCCACATAACCCACCCTGCTGCCATCAGAACTATGAGCCACAGGGCTGGAGGGCACTCCGTCCTTGACCCCAGCAGGCAGGATGGCCCTGTCTGGTCTAGAAGGCGGGATTCAGACCAGAAGCAGGGACAGGAGAGCAGTGTCAAACAACTGAAGTACTGAGAAGCACAAGGAGGGGCAGACCAAAGGGTCCTCCAAAAGGCACAACGGGGTACAAGAAAGAAGTGGCAGTTTGGGCTCCACCTCAGAGGGGCCTCTTCTGCACTTGGAGACTCACCCATCTCCCCTGGCATCTGGGAGCCACCCACAAGTGAGGTGCCTCTGGGCGAGCCATGGAAGGTTTGTTCGTTTGGCCTCGGTTTCCTTTCCTCTAAAATGGGAATGAGGACATATTCATGGAAAGACTCACATAGGACTAAATGATGGCACAGGGCTGTCCTAATGTTGGGAATCATTCATTCCACCCAGACAAGTCAAGCAACAGTTCTGCCCACCCTGGAGTCTAGAAATGTCCAAAAACAAAGCAACCGAGCTGGATTGTGCAAGCACACACACAAGAAACTTGCTCCCAACCCCTTCATCCCCCCAAACCAGTATCTGTGCCCACAACCTTATCAGCAAGCAATAAGAATTTTTCTTGCTGCCCAGAGAATCTGCACATTTGAGATAACCTTGAAATGCCAACTGTCTACACACAGTTATTTTAGAGAAAAGAAACTGGTAAACCTTTGCTCTTTCTATTAGAATAAAACAAAAGAAAAGTGCATGAGATCAGGTTTTACTTCCGCTAGAACTGTGGGACCCTATACTCATAAACATTACCTTGACCCCTCTAGGTTAGTCGTACCTGGTAAATACAGATAACAATGTGAACTCGAGAAAGTGGGCATTAGGACACAGATCTGGGACAGGCACAGACTGTGGGTACAACAGGCCCAGGTCAGAATCTCTCCCCATTGCCGATGGGGCCAGTGACTTCCGACAAGCTACATCCTCCTGTCAAACCTCAGAACCCCTCGACAATCCTGGAGCCCACCTCACAGTGTGGTTGTGAGGATGAAGTGAATGTAATATAAAAAAGAGTGTGTGGTCCACAGCCGACAGTGACACATTTATAGCAAATCACAGATGATCCCTACCACTGCATGTCTTGGTGAAATGTTTACACACCTGACAGAGAATGGTAAGTGGGATAAAAACACCCTTTGGAAAAGAATCATTTCTTGTTTGGTTGCCTAACTATAAGAATGCTATGTTCTGTGTGATCTGGAGGGTGCAGCTGAGTGGGCTGAGGGGCACCAAGATACCACATGAGAAAGGCACATGAGAAATACTTGTCAGTTTTCTCCCCTGCCAGGAATTAATGACAGTGGTCCCCATTTGGGAGTGGGAACCATCATTTAAGTTCAGTGGAGCTCCCCAATTGTCAGGGGCATCATAGACTCAACCATCCTCCAGAAGCTGTGTTCCAAAAAGGCGAGGAAGGATCCTACAAACCCTATAGTGAGCAACCTGAAAGGATACTGCCTGGCCAAGTGAAGTGACCAAGGTGACCTGAGTTTCACCAAACAGCAAGGCAGGGCCCTCCTGTCTGCAAAGACAATGGAGCAGTGCTTCTCAGACCGTGGTCCAGAGCAGCAGCATCTGGGAACTTGTGAGAAATGTCAAAGCTCAGGTCCTCCTAGACCCACCGCATCAGAAACTCGGCAGAGAGGCAAGTACTTTATGTTTCAACAAGTCCTTCAGGGAATTCTGATACCGGCTCATGTTTGAGAACAAATGGCGTAGGGTGACCTGAGATCTCAAAGTTGAAACCAACCATCCCCAGGAAACATACTAAGGCACTAGCCAGTTAGAAAAGAGAGAAGCCTCTGGTATCTTTCTCCCTTTCATCGGGCAGCTAGTACTAGCTATCTCACCACTGGACTTCAATTTTGAATCCCATGCTGCTTCTGCAATAAGGAAGGTGCCAGTGGGATGCTTCTGGTTCTCCACAGAATGCTAAGATGGGCCCCTAAAACGCAGGTGCTGTATCTGATACATCTGGACTGCTGCCAGTGGGTTCCAAGGACTGAACAAGGTGATTGTTCCCCTCAATCCCTAACACAATGATCTTAGCTCCTGAACCAGAATCAAAGACTGGGGAACTGACACTGGTTGGCTGCCCCAAGGTTCCACTACCCCCAAGACCAGAGGGGCCCTGAGGCCCCAGATCACTCTCTCACTCCACCTCCCCACTCACTCCTGAAACCCAAGCTGGTCAGGGGTCTTGTCCACTGGGGGCTCCCCTGTCAGAGGTCAGGACCCCCAGCCCTTGGAGGTTAGTCAGAGATATTATTTCTCCCGCTAAAGTCCATGTTCCCAAACATCCCTAAGCTAGTGGCAGTGTCCTCCAACCCCACACACCCTCTGTCACCATCACTGCAACATCACCACCCTCCAACCTCAGATGCCCCAGTGTGGCACGTCCATACCTGTAGTAAGACAGCAGACCATTGCTGAGCACGAACCAACGGCGCTGGTAGCCTTTCAGGTAGTTGGTCCATTTGAGCAGCCAGCCCTTGAAGCTGTCCAGAGGCAGTAAGACCTTGGGCGCAGCGGAGGTCGCGCCAGTCCCTGACATTGGAACCCCAAGAGACGCCCTCACCTGTCCGGGTCGCAGCAGGGGCGGGGGCTTTGACGCCGGCAGCGACCCCGGCTCGGGTTTGGTCCAGGGCGCGCTCCCCACGACTGGCCCCAGGGCCGGCAGCTGCTCTGATGAGGCCTTGGGGCAGGGCCCAGCCCCTACACTGGAGCCCAACTCTGGCCGGGGCCCTGACCCCCGCCCCAAACCCAGCAGCAGTTCCGTTCCCTGTTTGGACTCTGGCCTTGGCTCGGACGTCTTCTCAGGCTCCAGTCTTGGCACCGGCTCAGAAACGGGCTCCGACACCTGTTCCGACACCGGCTGCCGCTCGGGCTTCGGCACTTGCTGGGGCTGAGGCTGGGGCTTGGGCTGGGGCTTGGGCTCCGGCCCGGGGCCAGGCGTGGAAGCGCTCATGCTCGGCGCCGCCGTGTGGCAGGACAGGCAGGGGACAACCGTGAACAGCGACGAGAGTCCGCGGGTGCGGCCGCCACAGCCGCCGCCTCGGCACAGAGCGGCCGCTTTCCCCATAGAGCCCGCCGACCGGAGCGCGGCCGAGTCGCGGGGAGGGGGAAGCGGG